GTCCTGGGGACAGAGGATCAGAGGGCAGACACAGGGACCTTATACCTACGTTGTACATGGGGCCTCCAGGCAATGGAAGAGCCCCGGGGGTTGCAAACGACAGTGGCTGGCAGGGTGGGTCCCGAAGGCAGTTTACAGCCGTGGGCAATGCACGGTAGCCAGTTCTATAGGGCTGGGCCCCACCTGCTGCGGTTAAAGGGCTCAGTGGCCTATGGGGAACAGGTTGGTCTGGGGGTAGATAGCGCTCGGCGTTGTCCCTATTTCTGACCCCGGTGAGTGTGGCTGTCTGGTCTCCGGGCCCCACAGGCCGCAGTGCCTGGCTCCAGCAGTGCGGGGATGGCCTCCGGTGGGTCTGGGATAGAGCAGCAGCCGCAGGGGGCGTGCAGGCCGGTGCTGGGAGACAGGAGGTCTGGCTCTGCCATGAGACTTGGCTAACATTTCAGAGTCCTCTATTGATTTTGGGGGGGGCTCTGTTTTGGAGAACCTACCGTGTGCCTGCCCGGGGCTGGGTTGTTCAGAGGAGCTGGGCACTGTGGGAGTCAAGGGGAGCGGTGGGGGCTCCGCCCCTCTGAAAATGGGGTGGTCAGGGTGTCCCCCAAAATGGAGCTGCCCAGAGCTAGTCACCATTTGTGGCTGTGTGACCCTCCCCCACAGTCTCTCCCCTATGAAATGAGGCTAATGCTCATTTTTCTTCCCACTGGAGCGCTGAGGATTGATGGCAGACAAATAATTAGAGAGATGGGGGGTCGGGGGGAAATCTCTTTTATTGGACCAGCTCCTGTGGGTGGAAGGGACAAGCTTTCAAGCCCCACCCTGGAAGAAGAGCTGAGTTTGCAGACTTGTCCCTTCCCCCCCCACACACAGAAATTGGTCCAATCAAAGAGATTCTCTTCCCCCATCTTGTGTGTCTCGTATCCAGGTTGCCAGCACCGCTTGGATTGATCAGAGCTTGGAGATCCCCTGGCCAATCCAAATGAGCAATTGTCTCCTGGAGCGGAGCCCTCTTCTCTCCTGCTGAGCTGCTTCTGTAGCTCACCAGAGTCCCGTTGTCTTGAATTCAAATCCTCGGCTGCTGCTTGATGAGAAATCGAGCGGAGCTTAAAAATTCCAGCTCTCAGCCACGGTACAGATGTGGGGGGTTTGTCTCAGCCCATTACAGAGCCAGCAGCCAGCTGCAAACCCAGCATCTGGCTCTGGCTGCTGGCCTGGCCCTGCCCTGGAGCTCAGGGGGCGGTTTGGGTCTTGATGGCCCCGGCTGGCAACGTGGATCGTGGGCGCTCACTGGCTCTGCCCTGTCTCTGTGCCTGCCAGCAAATCCCCAACGCGCACAAGGACTGGGTCTGCGCCCTGGCCTTTGTCCCCGGCCGCCCCATGCTGCTGAGCGCCTGCCACGGGGGCGTGGTGAAGGTCTGGAACGTGGAGAACTTCACGCCCGTTGGGGAGATCAAGGGCCACGACAGCCCCATCAATGCCATCTGCACCAATTCCAAGCACATATTCACTGCTTCCAGGTGAGGGCAGTGGGCTGGGCTAGGCCCCTGCGGGATGAGGGAGGGAGCTCTGACCCCCAACTCACCCCAGTGCAGCAGAGCAGCAGGAGCTCTCCAAACCCACTGTTGCTCCCCCCATGTGGCAGGGCCTGGAATGGCACTGGGAGCGAGGGATGGGAACAGCGCCGGAGCCGGGCTGCAGGCGGTTTGGTATGGGGCAGCAGTCGGCTGCAGGGCCCCCAACCCTCCCCATCTAGCCTCTCGTCTCCTCCATCTCTCAGCCATTGTTAGGTCGCCCCACAGTGGCGTGGCCCGTAGCTGATTGTACTCACTGTGCTGCCTCTCCCAGCTGGGGCGGGGGCAGCCCCCGGCCTCACTTCCTCTCTCTCTTCCTTCCCCAGCGACCTGACAGTGAAGCTCTGGAGTAGGAGAAGATTGCTGAACGGCCCGACCTAGGCACTGGAAAGGCCGGAGCCAGGGCGACTGTCAGGCTCCCTGGCGGGCCCAGGCCCCAGCCCCTGTCCCTGGCTGTGAAGAGCTGGGAGCGGCCTGGCCTGTGTGTGCTCCAGTTTCCAGGACTCTGGGGTGACGGCGTCTCAGCTGGGGCTTTGTGAACTGCCAGCTCCCACGGCTAGGGGGCGTCGTTCCCGTCCAGTCCCACGCTGGGTTTCCATGATGCATAGGGCTTTCTGCTGACTGGGGCGTGGCCAGGCAGTGCTTCAGGACATGGCCTTGCCAGCCACGGGGAGGACCCCAAGCTGAGAGACTCAACAGGATCATTCCCGTCTGTCCCGCAGCCCGTTCAGCAGCCCCAGAGCCTGGATGTGCGAGAGGGATCCTGCCACCTGCATCCTGCTGCTGGCCTCTGCACCTCCTGGGTGCCTGGGGTCTCATTCCTTCTGCAAGCGGCTGCAGGCCCCTCTCCACACTTCGTCGTTCAGCAGAGCTGGGATCTGCCGGCCGGTACCGAAATACGGAGAGGGCTTGTGTGCTGCCGACCCCAGCCTAGCACCAGCAGCGTCCATGGAGCACCGCTGGGGAATGACCCGCTCCCAAAGACGGCTTCTGAGCCCCGGCACTGCACTGGGGCTCCTTGCAAGGGGCTCCGGCAGCCGCTCCATCGCTGGGTCTCCTGACCAAATCCGCATGCTGCCTGGCAATTGTCGACCTCTGCATCTGACCCACCTCGGTTCGGAGCCAGGATGCCCCCCCTTCTGCCCCGGGGGTGGAGAGAAGGAAGCTGGCACATGGGGAAAATCCCTGTGGGCGTCTCCAAGGAAAAGCGGAATTTCTGGATCTGTTCACTCTGGGTACCCCCTGACCTGACTGAGCCTTAATTCCGCACTGGTCTGTTCACTCTTCCCTGTGGTCCCCTCACTGCCCATTTGGACACCCGGCTTGGTGC